CATTTACCGGCCTGAATGTCCGAGAAATTATCTAGAAAATATGTGACACCCGACAGGAATCGATCTAGAGTCCTAGACGGAACCGTTATTTGATCTGACGTGTTATACGACTTAGCTACAGAGGAAGAGTCTGGTTGACAAAGTCCAAATTACTGTTTGTAAACAACAAATTTCCCACGATCTTTCTCGAACGATCATATCTGCTTGAAGCCTGTTTTAACATAAGCAAATGACAACATATGGACTAAGTCCAACAATTATTTTAATATATTTTGTTTATACGTTATTTTTTTTTATAGATACAGTTATTTAAACAAATGCTCTGATTATAATTATTTATAATAAATAGTATTAATTACATTTGCCCACCTGAATATATATATATATATATATATATATATATATATATATATATATATATATATATATATATATATTATATTATATTATTTATAATAAACAGTATTAATTACATTTACCCACCTCAATATATATATATATATATATATATATATATATATATATATATATATATATATTATTATAATAAACAGTATTAATTACATTTACCCACCTGAATAATATATATATATATATATATATATATATATATATATATATATTCAGGTGGGTAAATGTAATTAATACTGTTTATTATAAATAATTATAATATATATGTATGTATGTATGTATGTATTGAAAGAAAGAGAGGAATAGACTAAATTAATGTATGTAGACAATTTTCAAAACATGTAGGTATATTTTATATCCTTAAATACAAACATTCTTATAGAATTATTGATATGTTCTCTCAAATATCCAATACATATGTTTTTGGTAGGGTAGATAGATAGATAGATAGATAGATAGATAGATAGATAGATATGAACAAACTGATAAATAGGTGTGTGTGTGTGTGTGTGTGTGTGTGTGTGTGTGTGTGTGTGTGTGTGTGTGTGTGTGTGTGTGTAATTTGAGAGCTGTATGTATCAATTATCCTGCGAGACACGGGAAACGATGCACAATTTCTTTCTTTTTTCTTTCTTGTTTGGCGCCTGTAATTTTCCTTTTTTTTTTCTTTCATTCTTTCTTTCTTTCATTCTTTCTTTCTTTCTTTCTTTCTTTGACATCTTTAATCTTTCCTTCCTTCTTTCCTTCCTTTCTTCCTTCCTTCCTTCCTTCCTTCCTCATACCGTTCCACAAGCATTTAGAAATTATAAATTTATATCTTACCTTTACTCTTTCGATATTTTCTCCCACTGGACTTAAATACAAACATTCTTATAGAATTATTGATATGTTCTCTCAAATATCCAATACATATGTTTATGGTAGGGTAGATAGATAGATAGATAGATAGATAGATAGATAGATAGATATGAACAAACTGATAAATAGGGTGTGTGTGTGTGTGTGTGTGTGTGTGTGTGTGTGTGTGTGTGTGTGTGTGTGTGTAATTTGAGAGCTGTATGTATTAATTATCCTGCGAGACACGGGAAACGATGCACAATTTCTTTCTTTTTTCTTTCTTGTTTGGCGCCTGTAATTTTCCTTTTTTTTTCTTTCATTCTTTCTTTCATTCTTTCTTTCTTTCTTTCTTTGACATCTTTAATCTTTCCTTCCTTCTTTCCTCCCTTCCTTCCTTCCTTCCTTCCTTCCTTCCTCATACCGTTCCACAAGCATTTAGAAATTATAAATTTATATCTTACCTTTACTCTTTCGATATTTTCTCCCACTGGACTTAAATACAAACATTCTTATAGAATTATTGATATGTTCTCTCAAATATCCAATACATATGTTTATGGTAGGGTAGATAGATAGATAGATAGATAGATAGATAGATAGATAGATAGATAGATAGATATGAACAAACTGATAAATAGGTGTGTGTGTGTGTGTGTGTGTGTGTGTGTGTGTGTGTGTGTGTGTGTGTGTGTGTGTGTGTGTGTGTAATTTGAGAGCTGTATGTATCAATTATCCTGCGAGACACGGGAAACGATGCACAATTTCTTTCTTTTTTCTTTCTTGTTTGGCGCCTGTAATTTTCCTTTTTTTTTTTTCTTTCATTCTTTCTTTCTTTCATTCTTTTTTTCTTTTCTTTCTTTCTTTGACATCTTTAATGTTTCCTTCCTTCTTTTCCTCCCCTTCCTTCCTTCCTTCCTTCCTTCCTCATACTGTTCCACAAGCATTTAGAAATTATAAATTTATATCTTACCTTTACTCTTCCGATATTTTCTCCCACTGGACTTAAATACAAACATTCTTATAGAATTATTGATATGTTCTCTCAAATATCCAATACATATGTTTATGGTAGGGTAGATAGATAGATAGATAGATAGATAGATAGATAGATAGATAGATAGATATGAACAAACTGATAAATAGGTGTGTGTGTGTGTGTGTGTGTGTGTGTGTGTGTGTGTGTGTGTGTGTGTGTGTGTGTAATTAAATTGAGAGCTGTATGTATCAATTATCCTGCGAGACACGGGAAACGATGCACAATTTCTTTTCTTTTTTTTCTTTTCTTGTTTGGCGCCTGTAATTTTTTTTTTTTTTTTTTTTCTTTCATTCTTTCTTTCTTTCTTTCATTCATTCTTTCTTTCTTTCTTTCTTTGACATCTTTAATCTTTCCTTCCTTCTTTCCTTCCTTCCTTCCTTCCTTCCATCCATCCTTCCTCATACTGTTCCACAAGCATTTAGAAATTATAAATTTATATCTTACCTTTACTCTTCCGATATTTTCTCCCACTGGACGTACACAGATAACAATTTTTTTTTCAAAATCAAAATAAAAGAAAGCAAAATTTAACGCACAAGTCGAAAAACAGTCGATCGTTAGTGGGAACAGCCAAAATAATGCTACTTAAAATGAAACAAGCGAGGACAATTTAGCGTTGACCTTGTGCACACAATCACCTGTGTCTGTTTCTTGTGTACACGGACTCCAGTTGGCGCACACACTTCACAACCCGTTAATTGTTTGCCAGCCGTTTGGAAGTCATTGGAACAATTATTCATTTCTTTCCGCACCTTTCGATTATTTTAATTTTTTTCAAGTGTCCAGGCGAAAATGAACACGAAGAGCGAATTCTTAATAGATAGACATGGAACTGTTTGTCTGTCGATTTTAGTCTGTCTGTCGATCTATCTATCTATCTATCTATCTATCTATCTATCTATCTATCTATTTAAGGTTGTTCCTATCCTTATTTCTTTCTATCTATCTATCTATCTATCTATCTATCTATCTATCTATGATCATATCTCTCTCTGTCTCTTTTTATCTATTTGAGTCTGTTCATCTATCTTTCTTTATCTCTCCCTCTCTATCTAAATATGTTCATATCTATTTATCTATCTAAGTTTTTTTTCAACTATCACTCTCTATCTGCCTGTCTATCTGTCTGTCTCTCTCTCTCTATGTATCTTCATATTTATCTCATTCTTTTCATTCTCTCTCTCTCTCTCTATCTCTCTCTCTCTCTCTCTATATATATATATATATATACGTACTCGTATCGGTTTTTTTTCCTTTGGGCTTTGGACTTGCATGCTAGACGATTATTTTCAGTTAACGTACATGATCTTGGTTCTTTCTTTTTTTTATACCTTTTTTTCCCTTTGGCTTTGGTATTGGTTTGATTATTTGCGAATCAAGACACCGAAGGTTTTCCGAACGAGTATAGTTTCTTATACTTATAAGATTACTACTACTATATATATATATATATATATATATATATATATATATATATATATATATATCACAGTTTATTCACATCTATGTATCTATCTAATTTTTTTCATCTCCCACCGTCTGTCAGTCTGTCTGTCTCTCTATCGTCAGATCTATCTCATTCTTTTCATTGTCTATCACGGCTTATTAACATCTATCTATCCAATTGTTTTCATCCCTCACCTTCCGCCTGTAAGTCTCTCTATCTATCTATCTATCTATCTATCTATCTATCTATCTATCTATCTATATATATATATATATATATATATATATATATATATATATATATATATATATCATTCTTTTCATTATCTATCTATTCTATTTTTATATCTATTTATACAAGTTTTTTGATCTCTCACTCTTTATCTGTCTGCCTGTCTGTCTGTCTGTCTGTATCTATCTATCTATCTATCTATCTATCTATCTATCCAAGTTTTTCTTCTCTCACTCTCTGACTGTCTCTCTCTATCTATCTATCTCCATATCTCATTCTGTTCATTATTTATCGATATTAGTCTGTTCATTTCTATCTATCTATCTATCTATCTATCTATCTATCTATCTATCTATCTCGTTCTGTTCATTATCTATCTATCTATCTATCTATCTATCTATCTATCTATCTCGTTCTGTTCATTATCTATCTATCTATCTATCTATCTATCTATCTCGTTCTGTTCATTATCTATCTATCTATCTATCTATCTATCTATCTATCTGCAAATCAATCTTTATTCATATCTATCTATCTATCTAGCTCTCTTCACATCTATTTATCCACGTTGAATTATTTCTTATTCTGTCTGCCTGTTTATCTATCTATGTTTGTGCCTATCTATTTAATTGCTCATATCTATCTATCTATCTATCTATCTATCTATCTATGATCATATCTCTCTCTCTCTCTTTTTATCTATATGAGTCTGTTCATCTATCTTTCTTTATCTCTCCCTCTCTATCTAAATATGTTCATATCTATCTATCTATCTATCTATCTATCTATCTATCTATCTATCTTATTAGCCGTTTCCCCTACAAGTATATATAGAGAAAGAGAATGGAAGATATTTTCCCTGCTAATGTTGGAGTGAAAAAGGGCCATCTAGATTGCCTCCCTAGCCCCACTACGAATTGGATCGATGCACCAAGACTTTACTTTTTATCTATCAAAAATCTGGCATGCGGTTAAAACAAATTGGAAAAAGACTTTATCTCTTTCTTGAGAAATTAGAAAAACACATGCCATTAACGAGAAGAAGCACGGACGGGAATTATATTTTCGTTGGCGAAAACCAATTGAGAAATGAAAACATGGAATGAAACTGCTGTGAGGGTTAGGATTCGTGATAGGCAGGTGGTCTAGTTTGAGTTTTCGCTGAGACAGCGATCGGCCCACGGATGGAGAATAGTTTGTCTCTTTGTTGAGAATTTAGGCAAACAAATATATTTTCGTTGACGAAAACAAATTGGAGAATAATTTTATCTCTCGCTCGGAAGGTTAAATAAGAACCTAGTAGTCTGACTTGTCTTCTCGCTGGACAGAGGTAATTCTAGTGAAGTGGAGGGAGACAGAGAGTTTAAATTAATGGTGAGAATAAATGAGATTGTCACAAAGACATTCATGCTAGCATTGAGAGGTTGGCAGAGTTAGAATGACGAGAAAAAAGGAGGAAAAGACAGAATTTAGCGCCGAAGCCTGTGTGGAGTGGTGGTGCGAGATCTGAAGTGAAGCAGCTTGGAGTTACGAGAGGAGCAATCTTTGTGACTGTTCCTAAGGAGTGTGGACAATTCTCCAAATTTGGAAAATTGATCAAGAAAGCAGAAATTGGGAACAAAAAAAAAACACCTTGTGAGATTAATGTGAAAATTGGGGAAATTATCGAATCTCCAAAACCCTTCAGCCCCATGCCAATTTTGGACCGAAGGGCATATAAGCAGATGATTTTGGGAGCTGGAAACTTGGGGCTGAGAACCCGTATCGAGACCTCTGAAATTTACGTCAGCTGCCACCAGATTTCATAATTCCGAATAACTTTGAACCCAATTTATTAGGCGAGGCACAGTGTCACTATAGAGATTGGTACAGGAAAGGTTAATTTCTGTTGTACCAAGACTATATAAACCAATTGAAGCTTAACCCCATGAATCTTTCGTTTTATTTTTTCGACGTGAAGATATTTTCCTTCTTTAATATAACACGCACTATGGCTTGAACCAGCGCTGGGATTACTAAGACATTCCATCTTCCACTCCTCTGAGATCAAGAACACAACGTGGCCAGAGTTGATGTGAGTTGAAGCGGCCAACGACTAACAACCAGCTCGGACTAGCGTCAGAATTGACCAGTACAGAGTTATCCCTATGGTTAAAACGTCGTCCTAAGACACTGAGGACCTGACCACTAAATGTGGTTACACCAACAGGTGTAAGAGGCGGCGGCAAAAGGTGTTATATATTAATTGGTAACAGTGTCCAAGGATTTGACCCTGGGTTACAGGTGTTATATTAATTGGTGTTCGTCACTAAGAATTTGACAATGAGTTGTTATATTAATTGGTGTCCGGACCAAATATCCAGCTCAACCAAACCCGGAAAAGAAAAGGACAATGCATTACGGTAGTAAGAACCAAGAGACTTTAGCCAATTAACTATAAGGTTCTGAAACTATGGGCGTATTTTTCTGTTTTATCAAGTCACCACAAGTCAAGTGACAGGTAGGACACTTTTTAGTCTCTGTGTTTTTTCTCGCTTGTGTTGATTTCTTTGTGCACCTTTCGATAGAATTTTTTTTCATTGTAACTAGATTTTGTCAAATTGTCTCTTCTTTTCCCTTTGTTGTCGGTTGATTAGATAAGTTGGGATGAGACTCTAGGAGAATTAGGGTTAAAATCGAGCGTGGGAAGTGAAAGAAAAAGATATAATAGCTCTTGAGGAAGTAAGAGAAGTAGCCGCTATTCAAGTCCAGATGGCGGATTTGTTTGTTGAGACACTGGATAACGAGCGCGTCAGATATGATGTAATTAAGTAATCCCACCAATCAGGTTGTCAGTGACCCTAGGCATCTGGCTAAAGACACTGAGAAATTGCGGAAGAAAACGAGAAGAGAGGGAGTTTATGTTCGGAATCAGAAAGGTGACAGCCAGAGTAAAGAGAAGAAATCCTCTTTCATAGAGAAGAACGCCGAAGATGAAACCCAGGTTTATAAATTGAAAACGAAAGAGGAAGAGAATCTGAATGAAAAGAGGAAGATGCAATATCTCTGTTCCAACTCCAGAAAGTTAAGAATTTGGTCACTGAAGCACTTACCAGTGTAGAGTTAGCCCTATGGTTAAAACGTCGTTCTAAGACACTGAGGACCGTTCCTCTAAATGTGGTTATACGCCAGGGTATAGGCGGTAGCAAAAGGTGTTATATATTAATTAGTGTCCGTGACCTAGAATTTGACCGTGAGTTGTTGATGTTAATTGGTGTCCGGACCAAATGTTCAGCTCTAACAAAACTGGATGAAGAAAAGGACAATTCATTACGGAATAAGAGATAATAGCCCCTGAGGAAGTAAGAGAAGTTGCTGCCATTCAAGTCCAGTTGGGGTATTTGTTTGTTGAGACACTGGAGAACGAGCGTGTCAGACATGATGTAATTAAGTAACCCCACCAACCAGGTTATCAGTGACCCTAGGGTTCTGGCCAAAGATAGTGAGAAATTGCGGAAGAAAAAGAGACGAGAAGGAGTTTGTGTTCGGAATCAGGAAGGTGACAGCCAGAGTAAAGAGAAGAAATCCCTTGTCGTAGAGAAGGGCTCAGAAGATGAAATCCAGGCTTCTAATCTGAAACCCCCAGAAGAGATGATAAGCTAAGTGAGTGGAAAGAGGAAGATGCTATACCTCTGTTCCAACTCCAGAAAGTTAAGAGTCCTCCCTGAAGCATGGGCACATACAATGCATGCATGCAGATAGATGGGTGGGGAGAAGGTTACACCCTCCGAAAAGAAAGCACTCCCTGGACCAATCAACAACAGCTTAAGAGATTCCCCAAGAATAATAACGCTCCAATGAATATGATAATGGCCTATTCGATATGTGTTATGGGGTCCTCCCCTTTTCTATATAAGTGGACTCTACTAAATGTACCTGGACTGCTGCCGTTAAATACCCAGAGTTACAGTCAGTGAGGGTACTCGGCAGTCAGTAGTCGGTAGTCGGCAGTCGGATAGAGAGAGGATATACGGAGCGAGAGAGAGAATATACGAACGGAGATAGAGTGAGGTAACCTCTTGTAGAAGTCAGTTACAAGCACGTAGACTCTAAGGAAGTCCTACTTCGAGACTGTATATATCTATCTGTATTTGCTACTAACCGCGTTCCTGGACTTACTAACAGTATTACTCTTTGTATGATTGTGCAAATACATTTTATTTCTTATATTTAATTATTGCGTTTGTCATTCCTTGGAGACCGAATTCATCTCGGAATCCACAACAATATGAAACGAGAAATCCCAATAGTAATTGCTAAAAGCAATGTGAGAGAAAGGAGAGACAAGCTTATAAGAGGGAGAAAATTCTCATAGAAGTGAGAGTTAGGCATTAATAGAGGGGGAGTTACAAACGGCACATTTCGCCTGATAGTAAAAAAGGAGGAGAAAGAAGCTAAGTGTGTGGGAAGAGGAGGGTTATATACCTCTGTCCCAACTCCGGAAACAGTTAAAGAGAGATTAATTTCCGTATATAAATAAAACTTTTTAGGCACTTTAAAGCATCCGTAGTTTTTCTTTCATCATTCATCGAAGCTATCATTGTATACGGGGAAAGGAGAAAATGAAAAGAAAAAAAAGAATTGCTATAAAGCTGGGACGTAATTTAATTAGAAAAATTTTTGATTGTTGCATGAATAACATTATGGATTCTATTAAACATTCGCACCCTCAAGCTTTACGTGCACACCTCCAAATCCTGTTGTCCACCGATTGCGAATAGATTTGTTACCTACAACGGCTGTTGCAAGCAATGCAGTTCATACTGACCGCTAGCAAACCATAGTTATGGCACCAGTCAATGCAATTATCAATATTGTAAAACTGTGCTCCAGTCTTCAAAATGGCGATGTCATCGAAAACCTGTTGATTGGGAACGCGTTGAACACCAGCCATAATAAATGGTTTGAAATGAATGGTAAAGTACGTGAAATGATAAATGTAAGCAGTGCGAAAAGGATAGCCAACAGGAAAAAATGGGGGGGGATTATATCGCGGCGAAATATTAGAATAAGGCGGGCGTGGGTGCGAAAGTTTAATAGCGCCAAGTTATGTACACTATTATCTTGAGAAAGAAAAAAAAACAACTTTTTTGTTGAATACTGAGTTTTTGGTAGTAATTGTTTTCATCTTTTTGAAAATTAACTGGAATAATTTATGGGGTTTTAAAATTGTTTTTTTTTTATTTGTACTGGTTGGTTGGTTGATATAGTTAAAAAAAAAAACTATTTTGGCTAATTGTAAATGGAATGTCTTGGTGCAGTTCACCAAAACAGTCAGTTATATGCCAGGCGTGATAAACGTTTAGGCAATCATGTATCTTTCGATACATGACTGACGGGGCAGATATTTTTCCCGCGGTAGGTTGCCATTTCTTTCTGCGGTAGGCTAGCTACCATCCAAGGCTATAGAACCCGTTCTATCCTGCTATTTACCCATAGCTGGGGGAGAAGAGGATTCATATCTTTCCCAAGGATCGTAAGTGAATGTAATGGATTCGACTGGAATTCGAACTCGGCTCTCCGATTCCTCAATCCGAGCCGCTATCCATTACTTCACCGTACCGGTATTTAAAGTAAAAATAAAAAAATCACAACCCTTAATAGTTGGTCTTTTGTGGAAAGTTATGAGGGAAT